ACACCAGCAATTTTAAGCTTTATCCTAGTAGCAGAGCTAAGTTGGGCTCTACCATGGAAACGCATGAGCTTGATTGGAAAAAGATCTGCTAATCTCAAATAATGTCCCCGTGTTTTAGTAGACTGTTGGTTGTGTGATTTCAGGTAACAATTTGTCATTAAGAGGCAAAACGTTGCTGACATTTACGTTTACACTTTACTACATTAGGCATTTTACCGATTTTTCTTTTAGTTGCCTGGAACAGAAATTCCCAGATTACCAGCATTACTATTACTAAGGGTCTTTAAGGTGACCCCACTGCAAGTCCTCCAACCTTTCAAGGGTGTGTTAACCGTTAGAATGAACAAACATGTGGCTTAAGAACAGACTTTTCTCATTTGAGTATAAAAACGAAGAATAAAGATCTTGATGTGACATCTCCACGATCTGCCTTTTCTCTCCTGTGTTCTCAGTCTGAAACAAAGCTGTACAATGGTTCAGACAAGGATGTGTCGGCGTCTGGGGGGAAGCTCACCAAAAAGGAGTCCCTCAAGGTAAGTGAGCTCAAAGCAGCTTAAGTCTTGTGTATCCAGACGCTTAATTCTAAGGGCAGGCATAACGAGTCTTAATGAGGCTCTTTCATGGAGAGTGTTACGTATAGCTCAATCACTGATGCTTGTCAACATGATGATTTACAGTGTTTGTGTCATTAGAGGTCATGTTTTTTGTTAAAATGTAACATGTAACAAATGTCAGAGTGAGTAGGACACAGTATAGTCAAACATGTTGAAAAAAACTGATGATTTTGTCCTTCAAACTTTACTTCAGTCCACCTGCCGCAGGCACAGTCTGGCAGACCTCCGAATATAAATACATTTCAGCTCCCACAGCTTGCATTAATTTGATGTGCGCTTTTTCCACACTTTAACCTCCTAAGACCCGAACTCTTCCACGGCAGCATTTTTAATTTCTCTTTGATATTTGGGCTGATTGGGACCTGATGAATGTAAAAATAAAGAATTTTTTTTTTTTTTTTTACCTAATTTTTGTTTCTAAGAAAAATAAGAGCCACATATGAGGATATTCGTTTGAAATTTCAATAGAACAGTAGCAGTATAATGTCCTCGTAAGTGGATATCAGGCCCTTGTAGAGCAAAATTGAGTATTTTGGTCTAAATAACCCAAAATGTGATGTCCATGTGGACGCCAGGTCCTCGGAGGTTACAGCTGTACTCACAACAGGCCGATACGGTTGAGATTAGCTGACTGTTCTGGCACACAGAATATCAGTTATCCACAGGATTATAGCACAACACTGGAAAATTGAGTGGATGCAACTCAAACTCTACCTTTAAAGGCCTGTAGTAGCTTTCATTTCTTGAAACGGATTACTTTCCTGCAGGCTGAGCTGCAGACATTAGTCAGATGGATTGCTTCTTTAATCATAAAAACATTGCTTTTGCAAAAGTGCTTTAGGAATTATTGCCTGGAACTGAATTTTGTGAGAACATATTGCAAAGTATGCGTGCTTGGTCTTTTTTGCTTTACTCAGTAGTGTACTACAGCACTAATTTAATTGGAAAAATACATTGTCTAATTAGAATCAGTCTTCTAAGACGATGCTTTAGACCCTAATAATTCATTTCTTTCTGACGAATATTTCTAATCAATTTCATTTTTGGGGGGTTGTTTGTTTTAATCAAAATCCAGTCGGCACAGATGTTTTCTTTCGGTCAACAACATGAAGTTGTGTATGTTGGGCCACACTTTAACTGATGATGTATAGAAAACACAGATTTTTAAACCTGTGGTGCACTGGTGTCATGCACATGTGCAGGCTTATAGGGAGCCATTAAATGTAAAAGAGTGTAGTCGACAGTCAAACAGCACCCTGGTGTTAATGTGACAGGGACACAGAGGAGTGTGATTTCACTCATAGTTTTTGTTGCCAAATGGAATTCAGTGAGAAGCCATGTCCACATAATGATGTCGTTGCATTGTCCCGCCCTCTGTGCTCCCTGTAGGTGCAGAAGAAGAACTACAGGGAAGAAAAGAAGAGGGCAACCAAGGAGCTGCTCAGCACCATCACTGATCCTTCTGTCATCGTCATGGCCGACTGGCTAAAGGTGGCGCATCCCACATTCAGTGTCTGCCTTGTGCTCTATATATTTGCATTGACAACTTGCCCTTAGGCCGGCATAAAATCTAACAGATTACTTTTGCATTAGGAAAAATAGTGTTCCCAGCTGTAACAATAAGACAAAGAATAAAAGAATCCCTTCAGGTTTTGGTAGCGTTTTTGAGTACCTGACTTTTTCCTGCAACTGTCTGCAGATCCGTGGCACTCTGAAAAGCTGGACCAAGCTGTGGTGTGTGCTGAAGCCAGGCGTCCTGCTCATCTACAAAACTCACAAAAACGGGCAGTGGGTGGGAACGGTGCTGCTCAATGCCTGCGAGCTCATCGAAAGGCCCTCCAAGAAGGACGGCTTCTGCTTCAAGCTCTTTCACCCCCTGGAGCAGTCCATCTGGGCTGTCAAGGTCAGAGTGGACCTTTAAAAAGCATTAAGTCGGTTATGTAAATGATCCTAATGTAGCATCTTTTTAATTAAATTATGATTTTCAGACCTTTTTAGAAAACTAACAAATAACTAAGAGCAACATAATAAACACAACACCATCACAATAATCTAGCTAAGTGTAAATAATAGTAAACACTAAATATTGAATGTTATTGTGCAGCAGGCAGCATGTTCACTATTAAACACATTGTAACAATTTGTTTAAAGCATGCAGCAAGTGCACAGTTAACAAAAACGCTACAAAACTGTTATTTGCTCAAAAATGGCTCCATTTGGAATCATCTGCATTCCACTTCCTGTGGAGGTTTACAGTGATTCGTGTGAAAAATGCTGTGATGTACTCAATGAAAAAATCACCATGAAAACCGTTGACATATAGCATTTGATTATGACATGATTTTTCTCAATATATATTTTTACATGTGTTTGTTTGCTAGTCATCAATCGCTGGTATTTTCAGGCATCTAGCGAGTTTATAAGCTACTTTTTATCATGTCAAACAGCAGGCGTGTGATCATTTACCTTAGAAAGTGGTACCATAGCAGCGCCACTACAGCACACTTGTGTTTTTAAACCAGTGTCTGCTGGTTTTGGCTTAATTTTCTTAGAAATTGTTTCCCATTGTTTATAACAGTGTAATCATGAATGCAAAGCCAGACGGGTTTATTACGCAGACAGAGTTTTGCTTGCTGTCCATCGATGAGCAAAGCAGAATAAATACACATAATTAGGACTGAAAGGGCCCTTCAGTTAAAAACACTCATTTGTCCCCTGCAGTTACAATAGCAAAGCAGATGTGGATGTTAACTGTGTAATGAAAGCCATGTCTTTGTTTCATTTAGGACACACAGAGAAAATTATACATCCAGCCAGCCTATTTCAGCTTTGGCAGTTCTCATTTTCCATTGTCCCCGTTTTCAGCTCGCCCTGCTTTCGGTCCACTCCAGTAATTTAGTATTCATCGCTGACCTTGCATTTCAAGCCTCATTTTTCGTTTGTTTATAAAAATACAAAACATTGAATCACAATTACCAGTTTGTTTTGCATTACAGCGTTCCTGCTCTCCACTATTGAAATAAGCACTTCACCGGCTCTGTCTCTGTGCCCTCTATGCTCGCTCATTTGCATAATTACATATCTGTAACGCTGGATTGTTTGTGTTTGCGCATGAAATGATTTAAAACGAAAAGAGAAAATATAAAAAACTTGAGATAAAATAAAGAAATCACAATGAAAGACTTTTTAAAAGAAGAAGTAAAACACAGATCAAGTAACTGAGTAACTATGCGAATGTTTTTAACGTGCATCCCTCCCTTTCTTTGTGTCTTATTGTTATCAGGGTCCTAAAGGAGAAGCAGTTGGCTCCATCACGCAGCCGTTACCCAGCAGCCACCTCATTTTCCGTGCTGCCTCTGAGTCTGATGGTAGGAGACAGGCTGTCATTTAAAGCCATTTCTCTGACTTTTGTCAGCAGCCGCTTACTCTGACTGATTGTGATAAACTATCAATTTGCATAATATTGGCATAAACAAAGCTGTATTAGTATCAGATGAATAGCAGATGATCTGACAGTGAGTGGCCTTCATTGGAAGAGGCACTGATCATCTTTGTTTTATAAACCATCTGCTATGTTTTGTCTCCGGCACGCTGATGAAGGAGACCTGTTCTGCTCATTTCCAGCCTCATATTTATTTTTGTCTTAACTACAGTAGATGTGTATGACTCACAGTGCAAATGAATCATTATTTATCTTATATTGGGTCAAGGTGCAGGCCCTTACTCCATCCTCTGTCTGAAACAAGTGTCTGTAGCTGTTTGCCTTTGAGCGCTGTGATCTTTCTTCATTGTTTTTGTTCTTAAAATAGAACATTTGAACAAAAGGTGGGAAAGGCTTATTGCTGGTAGACAGAATTTTATTCCTTTTACTCTTTTCAGCTTACAGTGATTTCTTGTACATACCTTCGCTTTGTTATTTAAAAAGTTTAACATAAAACAACATTTAAATGTGTGTACATGTGACAGAAAGGAAAAACATAATGGGCCCATTTTAAACAGGAACCGGGCAATCGTGGCGTAACAATGTTAGCGTTTCTGGCCACAATCGAATCAAAGGTACATTAACCTTTATTATCTGAATCAGGCTGTTAGAATAATTTGTGATGTAGTTTCCAGGTAG